GTGGTCCACCCCGACCAAGCAGCGCTCGCGGTGCAGCCCGAGAGCCTCACCGCCGCGAGCCCGAAGCGCTGCCTCGCCGCACCTCGGCGCTGGGCGGCGCCCGCTTTTTGTTGGGCCCCGTGGGGCACCGACAGCAGTCATCTGCGACGTGAGACATCGGCCACGCGCAGACGGGGGGTACAGTCAATCCGCACAGTAAGGATGAGCAACTTTCTAGGTAAACGGGTTGGGAGGCACAAAACTTCCCGCACCCATGTGTCCGAAGGATGAGCTTGGTATTGAATGCCTGTCATTGACCAGGCACGCTGGTCAGCAGAGCTGACCAGCGTCTGCCCCAGCCCTCATAGGCCGGGGTCGTCACTCGGCCTGGCCTGAGGCCGAGTGCTGGCCAGCTTCGTTGGCCAGGCCTGGTCCCTACGGTGTAACCATACGATGACCAGGCATGCAATACCAAGCTTATCCATCATTGGCCGCTTTCGCTAACCCCGCCCCGCTCGGAAAGTGTTGGCATGGCCTTCCGAGGCCCTTGCCTCCTGATCGTGCGCCCTTTTTCTGCGGATTCTGAAGGGGAGAGGGGGAGGGCTTCTTAAAAACACCCCTGCTTCTTAGATGGCGCGAGCCTCATCTGTAGATGTAAGGCTGGCGCCCTCTAAGAAGCGGCCTCCTCCTAAGAAGCGGCCTCCCAAAGAGGGACCCACGGAGTGGTCCGGGGACCGACTCACGGTCAGGACGTTTTTTGTGTAGCGTGTCGCGCCAGGTTCTGGCCCACCACGCTGCGGCTCGACACGCTGTTCACGTCCCAGTCCCCGAGCTTCAGCGTCTCGAGCTTTCCCCGGCTCCCCGCCCCACGGGGTGGAGCAACACGCTATCCGCTTGCAGGGCACAGCGTGCCGCTGGGGCCACCGCAACGACACGCTAGGGAAAGCCTTCTGTCCGCAGAGCGGACTTTGTCGAAGCACGTCCGCTGCATGCACCAGTCGTCCCTCCTCCCCACCTCTCTCCTCGTCCTCCCCCTCTCGTTCCTCGGAGGCGGGGCGGCGGAGGGCGACGGCAGGAGGGGGGGCCGCATCGCATCGGAATCACGGCTCACCGTCAGCCTGCACGTCCGCGCGTTCTAAGAAGCGCACACGCTGCGGAGCACCACGCGCAACAGAGAGCCGGCGGGCGACCGCCCCGGACCCGGGCGCCAGGGGCTGGGCTCCTCGCGGCGCCCCGGCAGCGGGAGGGGCCAGGCCGGGCCGGGGTGGAGCGAGGCGCGCACCGCGCGTGCGAAGCGAGCCCTGCCCTCGGCGCCGTTGGATGGCCTGGGGCAGCCCGCGCGCGTGAGCTCAACACGCGGGAGGGGGGGGGAAAGCTTGGCATCGCTCGGGCGTGCCAATTTTGCTTCACGGCGGGGATCATCGATGGGCATCTTGGGTCATCTTGCGGAATAAGGCACGCACGACATCGAACACCGAAAATTGCAGAGGGAGGAGGAGGAGGAGGAGGAGGAGGAGGAGGAGGAGGAGGAGGAGGAGGAGGAGGAGGAGGAAGGAGGAGGAGGAGGGAGGGGTGAGGTCCCAGTGATCCCCCGACGCTTCCAGAGCCCCCAGGATGCCTGCCTCCGAGCCAGGATCGAAACCTCGGGCCTCTCCTTGAGGCCTGGGCGAGAGTCCAGGCTGGGCTCCTGGGCGAGAGGGCCGGAGGCAGGGAGATAGGGCAGGGAGATGGAGGAAGATGGGTGAGGAGTAGGGCCCAGGGAGGAGGAGGGAGGAGGCGGAGAGAGGGAGAAGGAGGGAGGAGGAGAACAGAGGGGGGGTGGGGATGAGGGAAGGAGGAGAAGGAGGAGGAGGAGGAGGAGGAGGAGGAGGAGGCGCAGGGGGCAAGAGGGAGGACGGCTACGAGGAGGAGGCGTAGGGCTGGAGGCAGGGAGAAGCCGGCGCGCTTGCGCATGGGCGCCGCGAGGTCCGCTGGGAAGCAGGGCTGGTGCTGCGCGCATGGGGGCGGCGGAGGACGCCGCGGCCCGGCAGCGTTTTCTCCTGCCGCTCCTCCTCCTCCTCCTCCTCCCCCTCCTACTCCTCCTCCTCCTCCTCCCGCGTTTTCTCCTGCCGCTCCTCCTCCTCAGGAGCCTCATCCCCCTCCTCCCCACGGCCCCCCGACCCCGGCCCGGGAGGCCTCCAAGACGCGCCCCCCCAGCCTGAGGCCGCCGACATGCCGCGAGATCCTCGCTCTTCGCCGATCGTTCCTCGCTGCTCCCTTGGCATCGCTCGGACGTGTGTATTTTTCCTCTCGGCGAGGACCATCGAGGAGCATCCTTGATCATCTGGCGAAAAAACCACGCACAAAACCGACAACAAAACACAGGGAATGGACGTCCGAGCGATGGCCAGGCTCCCCCTTCCCTCTTGTCTTAGAAGAGGAGAAGGCACCGATACCGCTACGTCTCCCTCGTTTTCCAGCTTTTTGGGCCTCCTGGGAGGCCCTCGCCGCCACGGCTGGATTCGCCCTGGATTTTTTTTCAGACTCTCATGAATCTCCTCGATCCTGACGCCTCGGTCTTCTCCTGGCAGCAGGTTGCGCCAGCAAGCCGAAGCAGCGAGAAGCATCACCCTGCATCATGGGGAAACAGCAGCGAACGGCAGCAGCGCGCATCACGAAGCAGGCAGCAGCAGCAGCAGCAGCAGCAGCAGCAGCAGCAGCAGCAGCAGCAGCAGCAGCAGTGGCAGCGGCAGCGGCAGCGGCAGCGGCAGCGGCAGCACACAACAACAGCAAGCAGCTGCAGCAGCAGCAGCAGCAGCAGCAGGATGCAGCAGGCACGGGCAGCACCACGCACCAAGCAGAATTGCAGATCAGCAGCACCTTGCAGCCACAATCATCATTTCCGCGAAGCAGCGGCAAGCGTCGTACCAACAGCACGCAGCAGCGGCAGCAAGCCGCAGTACGCAGTAGCATGTGGGGAATGCGAGGTTCGAGCCCCACGTCATCGTGTCAGCCTCTCGGCAGCATGTCCACCGGCACATTCCCGCTCGCGCAGACTTCCGTGGACGTAGTCCCCGGGTCAGCCCTAGTCTCTCCTAGAATCCCAGGGCCAAGGCGTGCGGGAAAGGCGCACGGTGCCCGCCTGCCAGACGGGCCAGCGGGGCCAGATCACCCCTGGAGATTCCCAGGACGGCTCCCGAGCGCCCCAGGACGGCCCCAGAGATCAGCTCAGAGATCCTCAGCGGCCCCATCACTATCAAAAAGGCCCGAAGAGGCTTTACAGGATGCACCACAGGGCCGAAGAGAGGCCCTGGACAACTTGCTTCCAGAGGGCTTCTCCACGACGGCCCAAGTCGGGCCCAGGAATGCCAAGGAGGCCCAAGAGGGCCCTGGAGGACCCGACGACGGCCAAGGATAGACTTGACACGGCCCGAGACGGCCCCAAGAGGTTGTCAAAATGACCCGAGAGGGACCTGAGCGATACACACGCCGTTCGCTGAAAGTATCTATTTTTGGACTCCCAGATCCCAATCTAGTTCAAGCGCCTTCCTACTTCAAGAATCGACGCGCTTTTGCTGTGTTCTGTTATTCTCTGGGAGGACCTGGACCCAGTCCACTATATCCGCCTTCCTACTTCATGTTTCTACCCCGAGAAGTCGTCAAAATGACCCAAGAGGCAGACCAGCCATAACTGGGGGAGCTGTGGTCCTTACCCCCCTGAGGGAACCCATCGCATCGACGATCTCTGGAGAGGGGCGTCGAAATCGATGGCCCCCCCGAGGGGGGTAAGGAACACAGCTCCCCCAGTTGTGGCTGGCCTGAGGGGGACCTGAGCGATTTGCGGGAGGCAACCCTGGAGCCCGACTGCATCCCTGTTCTGATGCTCCGCGTGCGAGCACAGGGCACCGTGGGGCCAGGCCCGTGCGGGCCGAAGCCCGCCGAGACCTCCCGCCAGAGGACCCGTCCGAGGGGCGGCTCGGCTCGGTGGCCCCGGGAGGGGCTCGGTGGTCGCCCCAGTCGGGAGTCTTGAGACGGGGGTCAATGCGAACGGGGGTCAGCCAAAGCGCCCCGTCTTGCAGGATCCTGCAGGGCCGGGCTCCTATTGACCCGGGTGTGGGTGCAGGATCTTGCAGGATCCTTCGCATTGACCCGGGTTTGGGTGCAGGGACTTGCGGGATCTTGGAGGATTCTGCAAGGCCTGGCTGACCCGGGTCTGGATTGACCCGGGTCAGAAGATCTCCGACCCAGAGCAACAACCGCGACAATGCAACAGGGTCCATCGAGACGGCACCGTCACAATGCAACAGGGTCCCTCGGTGGCGACCCCCTGGGAAGTGCAGGACAGCCCCGAGTAGTCCAAGCGCTCCGAGGCGCTCCAGGGCATCTCCAGGATGCCCCAGGGTGCGCCCAGTACGTCCAGAAGAACCCTCAGACGGCCTCCCAATATGTCCAGCCCCAAGACGGCCACTCGCATCACAAACATTCGAGCTGCAATGCTTTTAGCCTCCTCGCCTCTCTGGCCCAAGACAGCTCTAAATATGATCGTGACATCAGCTGAGCGTGGATTTCATCCACTCGACACCCTACCAGCTATGAAGCTGTCACCAGCGCGTGCGATAAAAGCCGGCGTGGTATGCAGGTGTTGTTGTTCCTCAGCGATCTGAGTGTCTCGATTTGGTAGCTGGGCAGCATATTCTCCTCTACTTTGCCGGGCAGGTTTGTATGCGAAGTCATCGCTTCAATGATTTTATCGTTCCCGTCATGGTTGGCCCTTTTTTCGGTCCGATCGGACTTCGCTACTTATCGGTACGTTGGAGATTCCATCGACTGCCCGCCCAGGCGGGCCCAGTCGGGCTCTGCCGCCAGTCGGAGCGTATCGTGAGCGTCCCAGCGCGCTCCCTCCACGTTGACGTGTCGTGGACAGGAGTGTCGTCTCCGATGAATCGTTGCGCTCTGATTCGCTTTGCTTGCCGTTCCGTCCCAGGACCATCCGTGTTCTCTTAGAAGGTGAGCTGTGCCACGTGGGGGCTGCAAAACCTCACATGTTTACGAATCCGATCTCGCGGAACTCGGGTCAGGCCTCGTCATCTAACCTACATTGCAGGGCCCAGTGCGTGCCAGAAGGGCGCAGGCTCCAATGAGTCAAAACCGCCCCGGGCTGGCCCCGGGCCGCCCCGGGCCGCCCAGGCAGGCTCCAGGACATGTCGAGAGGGCCAGAAGCCCCCAAGACGGCCCCGGAGAGCCCTGGCACGCTTAAAGATGGGCCCAAGACGCCCGAGATTCGCCCCAGACGGCCCAAGAGGCGTCCAAGACGCCCGAAGAGGCCTCCCAAGAGGCCTCCCAAGAGGGCCCCGAGCGACAGAAATCGTCGATTTCTATCATGTTTTTCTATGTTTTCGGCCTCCTCGCCTCTTCGGCTTCCCGACGCTCCAAGACGGCCCAAGAAGTCCCCCCGACCGCTCCAAGACGGCCGAAGAGGACCCCAAGAGAGCCCAAAGACGGGCCAGGAGGGCCCCAAGAAGATCCCAAGACGCCCCGGGACGGCCCCAGGACGGCCCAGGAGGCGCCCCAGACGGCCCAAGAGGCACCCAAGACGGCCCCAGGAGCGGCCCAAGACGGCCCAAGACAGCCCAAGAGGCGCCGAGGCGGGCCTCAGACGGCCCCAAGACGGCCCAAGAGGCACCCAAGACGGCCCGAGAGGGCCCTAAGAGCCCCCCCGGGAGGCCCAAAAGAAGGCCCAGGAGGCGCTGCACTGCGAGATGTGGAAAGCCAAGCTGGAGCCCGACGCCATCATGATTGCCTTTCGGCCCTGCAGCCGCACCCCCCCGCGCTTGCCCAGAGACCCCTCGCCACGTCGAGCTGATGTCGTGGACGGAGTCCACAGGTCTGCCCTAGTCAGCTACTGCGCTGGGATAAGCGCGTGCGTGAAGGGCGAGCAGTGGCAGCGGGTTTTGGCGCTGATGAGCGGGATGGGGGAGGCGAAAGTGGAGCCCAATTTCATAGTTTCTGCAATCACTGAACCAGAGCGTGCGAGGAATGCGCGATGTGGCACCCTGGCAAACAGGCCGGTGGGGCCAGACCAACCCTGCAGACTCTTAGGACGGCTCCAGATCGCCCCCGAGACGACCTCAGAGACGACATCAGAGGACCCCAGCACGGTCGAAGAGGTCTTACAAAGCGTTGCAGGGTGCACCACAGGCCCCAAGGAAGGACCTCAGGAGAACCTGGGCACAGTGCTTCAGGAAGGCTTCGTGCGGCCTCCAGGTTCCTCAAGGGAGCCCTAGGTTGTAAGGAGGCACCAGAATGCCCCAGGAAGCTTTCGACACGGCTTGAAAAGGGCCCCAAGAAGCCTCCAAGGCGACCAAGTCGGCCCCAGGAATGGTGCTGTCCCGAGAGAGCGTCAATATTGCCCGACTAATACTGCCTCTGCGTATCTCCCGTTCCAAGACGACCACACGCATCGACGACATGCTATTTGCAATGTGTTTAGCTTCATCGTCTTACCGGCCCAAGTAACCCCTCATACGGGTGGTGTCATTACTTTGTCGCAGTTGGCATCCATCGGATTCCTTACTCAGCTACGAAGCTGGAATTGACGCGTGCGAGAAAAGCGAGCGTGGCATGCATGTCTTATTGTTGCTCAGCGACTTGATGTGTACGACTTGGTAGCCGTTTGCTCGGCAAGTTTGCATGCGAAGTCATCGTCTTGATCATTCGATCGCATCCCTCATTCGATCGTCGTGCTCTGGTTGGGTCCGATCGGACTCGGCTACTTGTCAGCACGTCGAAGGTCCGATCGACTACCCGCGCTGGCGGGCCAGCTCGGACTCCCCCGCCATTCGGAGCGTGTCCAGAGTGGGACCGCTGCGTGCGAGAAAGGCCGGGACGCCTCTCCTTCGCGAGATGTGGGAGGCGAAGCTGGGGACCAAGGCGATCAGCTACCATGCTGCCCTCGGTGCTGTACCAGCGCCCTGCGCGGCCATCCGAGCGTGCGAGGTCTGCTGGCAGCGGACAACGGCCTTAGACCTGCTCAAGGCGATGCTGGAAGCCCGCGCGGACCCTACTGTGGCCTGTGATCCGGCCGCTGACCTGTACGTGCACGGCGCCCAGGCAGGTGGCCCCATGGACGTCTGCAAGCACATCATGCTCGTGGCCAGCAGATGACGACGGGCGCAGATCCTTTCACCGTCACTGACATGCACGCTGGTGCTGAGGTCTTACGACCTCAGTTCTGAGGAGTTCTTCCAGAACCGTAGTTTTGAGGAGGGTGTGATCCGACTGTCGCACGCTGTCGGCCGCAGCGGCGTCGGTCTTGTTGCAGATTGCCTGGCCCTGGTGCGGAGGTGCAATCAGGTCTGCGGCGCCTCTTCGAGCGCCTGCGCTGGCGTGGCACTGGATGAGGCCCAAGGACTCCGCCGTGCTCTTCGAGGCCGCCGCCGAGCCCTTCGAGGTCCTGAGGCGCAGCGTTACCTTGCTGGGCTGGGGGGTCAGTCGCCGCGATGTGCTGGCTCGCCCTTGAATTTTTGCCCTGGCCAAGGGGGCGGCAGATGTTGCTGCTGGACCCGCCATGCGACTCCGTTCAGTTCTCCGGAACGTGGAATGTCTTCGCCATCTCACGCCTGCTCCAGAGGTTTCTTTCCAGTTGTGTAGCCCTGTGGTATACGCTGGTTGACCGGGAGCAGGTCGCGGGTCTGTACAGCCAGGTCCAAAGCCTCGAAGCGTGCAGCGTTCTCGTGGCCGAGCTGCAGCTCGAGAAGTCGAGGCCGCGTGAAGCTGCCCTGCAGGGATCGGGACAGTGGTGGTGAACCCGCCCCCGGGCGTCCACGAGCAACCTCGCGCTGCGCTGCCAGAGGTCGAAAAAGCGCTGCGGGCCCTGGGCTACCGCGCGGCGTGGCTGTGAATCATCGCGGCTGCTCGTGGCAGCAGGCGGCCAAGGCAGAGCCCTGTGCCTTCAGCTACAACATGAAGAAGGAAGGCGGATGGCGAGGTCCTGGTAGGGTCTGTGTGGGAAACTAGTGTGTTGGCTCCCCCAGCAGCCTTCGAAAGTGGCGACACTTTCACACGTCGAAGGCCCCCAGGGATGGCCAGGTCCCGTTCGGGTCTCGGGGCACCCCGCTGTGGTGGCCACACCAGCAGCCCTCGAAAGTGGTGACAATCTCATACTTAACAGCCCCCCCCAGGGGTGGCGACTTCCCGTTCGGATCTGCGTGGGGCTCCACTGTGATGCCCCGCACAGCAGCCCTCAAAACTGACTGCACTCACATTTCGCAGCCCCCAAGGGATGTCGAGGCCCCGTTTGGATCTGCGTCTGCGTGGCACCCTATTGTGTTGGTCCCCCCGGCAGCCTTCAAAAGTGGCGACAGTTTCACACTTCGACGCCCCTGCCAGGGATGGCGAGGTCCCGTTTGGTTTTGCGTGGAACACCACTGTGCTGGCTCCCCCAGCAGCCCTCGAAAGCGGCGACAGCTTCTCAGATCGCAGCCCCCGCGCGGATGGCGAGGTCCCCGTTGGGTCCGCGTGGGAAACAATTGTGGCAGCCGGCCCCACCGACAGCTTCACACTTCGCAGCCCCCCTGGGATGTCGAGGTCCTGGTTGGGTTTGCGTGGGACCCCATGCGCTGGCCCTCCCACGGCAGCCCTTGAAATTGGCGTCATCTTCGTAATTCGCAGCCCCCCAAGATCGGTCCTGGTTGGATCTGCGTGGGACCCCATTATGCTGGCCCCCCGGGCAGCCTTCAAAAGTGGCGACAGCTTCAAATGTCGCCGCCCCCCAGGGACGGCGAGGTCCCGCTTGGATCTGTTTGGGACCCCGCTGTGCTGGCTCCCCCAGCAGCCCTCGAAAGTGGCACCAGTTTCACATCTCGTAGCCCCCAAGAGAAGGGATGCGAGTGGAAACAGCCGAGAGGAGAGCGCGGGTGGGTGTGGGGGCGAGGAGGAGAAGGAGAAGGCGGAGACCCCAGTGTTCTGTCCAGACCGAGAACCCAACCAAGGGAAGCTTGGGACAGACATATCACCTCGTTCTTCGCGCTCTCCCTCAATCGCCGCGGGCGCCGAGCGTCCCGCCCTGACCGAGCCTCCTCCTCCTCCTCCTCCTCCTCCTCCTCCTCCTCCTTCTCCTCCTCCCTCCTCCTCCCTCCTCCTCCTCCTCCTCCTCCTCCTCCTCCTCCTCCTCACCCTCCTCCTCCTGCCAGAGTCTCCGGCTCTACTGCACCCCGCACAGGATGCCCGGAGGGCGACGGCGAAGCGGACAGACACCCCGACGACGAGGGCGACGCCAAGGCAGACGCGCGCGCCCCGCCTGGAAGGCGATCGCTGTGACTCTGGATGCACGCCGGTCGCTGCAGGTAAGTATGTTTGGGTTCCCAGATCCCAATCTACTTCAAGCGCCTTCCTACTTCAGAAATCGACACGCTTTTGCTGTGTATTGTTATTCCCTGGGGGGGGCCTGGACCCAATCAACTTAATCCGCCTTCCTACTTCATGTTTTTACCTACTTCTTCCGACCGACGTGTACCCTGGTTGACCACGAAGGGCCTCCCCGATGGCTGGCAGCCTCACTTCGGCCTGGGGTTGCCCCTCTGGTCTCGGCCACTGCGGCTGAGAACTCTTGGCCAGATTCCCGAGGAAATTCGGGGTGGAGGAGGAGGATCGACGAGCAGGATGAGGAGGAGCAGCAGCAGGAGGAGGAGGAGGAGGGGGAGGAAGAAGAATGACGATCGGGAAGGATGGGGAGGAGGCGGAGGAGGAGAAGGAGGAGGAAGATCAGCGGGAAGAAGGGGGGCAGGAGGATCGAGGAGGAGGATGAGGAGCAGCAGCAGGAAAACAATTGGGAAGCAGGCGATTGGGCAGCAGGCGCTCAGTGTGTGCGTGTGTGTGTATCGGTTATCGCTTGCTACCGGCCCACCTTGCTTGTCGTCCCGTCCCGGCCGTATGGCCGCATTGTGCACCCGCTTGCCTGCCTCTCCGCACGCCTCATCCTGCACCCCGCCCCCCTTTCGCTCAGGCCCGGGTGTGCCCATGCCCGGGCCGATCCCTTTTGGATCCCTGCCCTTTCCTCCCGGGAGCCGGCCGCGCGCGCGCTCCGGTCGTCTGCGGACCGTTTCCGCCTCGCTTCGCGCGACGCCGCGATTTCCAAATCTGTGCACAGATATAGCATAGATGTACATGTGTATGTGCGTGTGTGTGCGTGTGCCTGTGCTTGCTGTGTCTGTCTGTCTGTCTGTCTACTGTCTGCTGTCTGTCTGTGCGTGTGTCCGTGTCTCTGTGTCTCTGTGCCCCTGTGCCTCTGTGTCTGTGTCAGTTCCAGTGTGTCTGTGTGTCTGTGTATCGGTGCGTCTGGGCGTCTGTTCGTCTGTGTGTCTGTGTCTGCGTGTGCGTGCGTGTCTGCTGTGTCGCCAGCCCGCAGCGGAGTTGGCGGCAGCGACGGTGGTTCGCATGGCCGTGGCGAGGCGGCGGGCAAGGTTCAGAGCAGATAGCAACACACAACATACCGATACCACTACCCTGCACTCGTCGCCACGGCTGGATTCGCTTCGAAATTCAAGCCAGAATGCGACCCTGGGGAGGTCCAAGGAATAGCGGTATCGGTACCGTGCTGTCCCCCCAGAGGCGGGCACGCGTGCTTGCGGGCAACTTGCGTTCCGTCACACCGGGGCTTTCGGCAGGTCGTGCGAACTCACAGCGCAGATGTCCTGCAATCTTTGGATCCCGGGGGCCCGCATTGGGCCCCAGGACCGTGCAAACAGCGACTCGGGATGGACAACCCGTCCTGGAGAAGGAGCCAGAACCTCTGGGGAGCCATGCTGTAATAATGTTCTTGGCGAGAGACCCACCTATATGCAGTTGCTAGTATCGTGAGGCAGTTGTTAAGCCGGAGAGGGGGTGAGGCACAAGGACTGGGGTGCCGAGGAGGAGGAGGAGGAGGAGGAGGGAGGAGGAGGAGGAGGAGGAGGAGGAGGGTCAGACGCAACGATCATTTGCTCTATGTCCGCACAGCTTTAAAATAGAAGAGGAGGAGGACCAGTATAACCCCAAGACTCATCAACGATGTTGAAGTACATCCTCCCTCCAAGATCTCTCCCCTACAAGGGCTCAGCTCAACTGAGGGAATGGCCCCTTTGGGGGACAGACGTGTGAACACCTTAAGGCGTGCCAAAACACTACTCTCAGGACTTCAACGCTCCGAGCTAGCCTGGATGTCGCGTCGTGGTGATCCTGAACCGCGCAAGAGCATTATTCCTGGGATTTCAGCACGGCGAATCAGAGTCACGGTTGCGCCCTATCAAGTCCGAATCGCTCCTGAGCGCAATTCCTGGTAAACCATGAGAACCATGGATTCGTTCAAAGTTGTAAGAACGAGTGTGCGCGGCGCTAAGGCGAGAGCCACACTTTGGAAAGAGCCCGCTTTCAATCCTTGAGGCGCTGGCAACTTTATGAAACGGATGTGTGCGGCGCTCAGGCGAGAGCGACATTTTAAGAAGGAACCGCAACGCTTGCAATTGTATGAAACGAATGCGTGCGGAGCTGAGGCGAGAGCCACATTTTGAAAAGGAACCGCCTTGAATCCGTGGAGCATTTGCAATTTTATGAAACGAACGTGCGCGGCGCTAAGGCGAGAGCCACATTTTGAAAACAACCCGCTCTCCATCTTTGAAGCTGTTGCCAGTTCTTTGCGGCAGGGCCAGATGTGAGGCTTATGGGGCCCCGACGCGTGCGAGAAGCGTGTCGACACGGGCGGGGAGCCGCATGCGAGCGCAGCCGCTGGGGCCGTGGGTGGAACTCCCTATTGGCCCCACAGCAAGTGTGAGGGGTGTGTCGAAGTGGGAGGGGAACCGCATGCGAGCGCAGCCACTGGGGCCTTAGGTGGAGCTCCCTGTGGGGCCACGGAACGTGAGCGGGGTGAGTTGAAATAGGCGGGGAGCCGCATGCGAGCGCAGCCACTCCGGGCTTAGGTAGAGCCCCTAATGGGGCCACGAAGCAAGTGAGGAGTGCGCCGATATGGGCAGGGGAACGCATGCGAGCGCAGCCCGTGAGGCCTCAGGCGGAGCGGGGCCATGAAATTGTGAGTCAGTCAGTCAGTCAGTAAGCCGTGCGTCCAGCAGGACGCGTTCGCACAAACCTGAGACACGCCAAACACACGCCTGAACACACGGGCGACACGCCAA